ATAATCAATTTAGGAAATTTCTAGACCTCCTAAAACAGTTGCATGTCAACATTCTATTTGTGGATGCATTAGAACAAATGCCCACTTATGTGAAATTCATGAAAGAAATTCTTTCAAGAAAAAGGAAGCTAGAAGAGTTTGAGACTGTTGCTCTTACACAAGAGAGCAGTCAATATTTGCTTAGTAAGATACCTCCTAAACTAGGAGACCCACAAAGTTTTACAATCTCATGTACCATAGGAGACCATTACATAGGCAGGACATTGTGTGATTTAGGTGCTAGTATCAATTTAATGCCTTTGAGTGTGTACAAAAAACTGAAAGTAGGAGAGCCTAATCCTAACACTATCACTTTACAGTTGGCTGATAGGTCCCTAGTTTATCCTGAAGGGAAGTAGAGAATGTCCTGGTAAAGGTAGATAAATTTATTCTACCTGCTGACTTCATTATTTTGGACTATGAGGAAGACCGAGATGTGCTTATAATTTTAGGAAGGGATTTCTTAGCCACTGGTGGGGCTGTAATAGATGTAAAGGAGGGTGAGTTGGCCATGAATGTCAATGGCGAGCAAATAAAATTTAATATTTTGAAGGCCATGAAATACCCAAGAGACATAGAGGACTGTTCTAGGCTAGATATCATTGACTGTGTGGTAAAAGATAAATTTTTGCATGAGTCTGCACTAGACTTTTTACAAATTTCTGTTTTTGTTTTTTTTTTATAACACAAATTTCTGGTTTTGAGGGTCTAGAAATCAGTCAAACTGATTCAGAGGAAGTTGTTAAATGGTTAAATTCCAGATCTGATGTGGTTTGGAAAAATAAAAATTTTGAGTCCTTAGAATTGGCCAAGAGAGGGTTAAAAATTCCTAAACCCTCAATTGAAGAGCCCCTGTGTTAGAGCTCAAGCCTCTGCCTAATCACCTTAGGTATGCGTACTTAGGAGAAAAAGACACCTTACCTGTCATAGTGTCCAATCTGCTCATTGTGTTAGAGAAAGAACAGTTGCTGGCTGTTTTAAAAAAATTTAAGAGGGCTATAGGTTGGTCTTTGGCAGACATAAAAGGAATTAACCTCTCCTATTGCACGCATAAAATCCTTTTTACTGACCCAACCAGCAGCTCTAGGGAGCAACAAAGGAGACTTAATCCAATTATGAAGGAGGTAGTAAAAAAGAAAATTATTAAGTGGCTGGATGCTGGGATATTATATTCCGTTTCTGACAGTAACTGGGTCAGCCCAGTACAATGTGTCCCTAAAAAGGGTGGGATCACTATTGTGGAAAATGAGAAAAAAAAATTAATACCACTAGGACTGTCACTGGTTGGAGGATCTGTATGGATTACAGAAAACTCAACAAAGCCACGAGGAAGGACCAATTTCCTTTGCCTTTTATTGACCAGATGTTAGATAGATTGGCTGGTAAGGAGTATTACTGTTTTCTAGATGGCTATTCAGGGTATAATCAAATAGCCTTAGCCCCTGAAGACCAGCCAAAGACCATCTTTACTTGTTCCTATGACATCTTTGCCTTTAGGAGAATGCCCTTTGGGCTGTGCAATGCACCAACCACCTTTCAAAGGTGCATGATGGCTATTTTTACTGATATGATAGAACAATTTGTAGAAGTCTTCATGGATGACTTCAGTGTTTTTGGGGACTCTTATGAAGAGTGCTTAGAAACTTTGGGAAGAGTGCTTGAGAGATATGAGGAGACAAATCTGGTCCTAAATTGGGAGAAGTGTCACTTTATGGTGAGGGAAGGCATTGTGTTAGGACATAGGATCTCTAAAGCAGGGTTAGAGGTTGATAAGACAAAGATAGATCAAATTGAGAAACTGCCACCCCTTGTGAACATAAAAGGAATTAGATCCTTTATTGGACATGCTGGTTTTTATAGGAGGTTTATAAAAGATTTTTCAAAAACTTCTAAGTCTTTTAGTCATTTGCTTGAAATCAACACCCCTTTCCATTTTGATGAGGCTTGTCATAAAGCCTTTGAGGAGCTGAAACAGAAGTTGATTTCTGCTCCCATTATAATAGCCCCTGACTGGTCACATCCCTTTGAGTTAATGTGTGATGCAAGTGATTGGGCAGTGGGGGCTGTGTTAGGATAAAGGAAAAATAGAGTTTTTCACTCTTTTACTATGCCAGCCGAACCATAAATGGAGCCCAATTAAATTACACAGTGACTGAAAAGGAACTGTTGGCTGTGGTGTTTGCCTTTGACAAATTCAGATCATATTTGGTAGGCACCAAGGTCATTGTGTATACTGACCAGTCAGCCATAAAATATTTGGTGGAAAATAAAGATTCAAAGCCTAGGTTAATTAGATGGGTTCTTCTCCTTCAAGAGTTTGATATGGAGATTAAGGATAGGAAAGGAACCAAAAATCAAGTGGCTGATCACTTGTCTAGGCTTAATAAATGGCAGCAAGATAAAAAGGTAGTGGAGCAAGCCATTAGAGAAACCTTCCCTGATGAGCAACTATTTTTAGTTGCCACTAACACAACCCCATGGTATGCTAACATAACTAATTATTTAGTTAGTGGGGAATTGCCTAGGGAGTTAAGTTATCAACAAAGGAAAAAGTTGATATATGACAGTAGGTTTTACCTTTGGGATGAACCTTACATGTTTAAAAAATGTGCTGACCAGATCATTAGGAGATGTATTTTAGAGGAAGAAAAAGAGGAAATCCTTAGGCAATGCCATGATTCACCATATGGTGGTCACTTTTGTGGCATGATGACAGCAGCAAAGGTGCTGCAGTCCGGTCTTTATTGGCCAACTGTGTTTAAGGAAACAAATTTTTATGTTCATAAGTGTGATAGGTGCCAAAGACTTGGCAACATTTCTGGAAGGCATGAAATGCCTTTGAAACCTATTCTAGAGATTGAACTCTTTGATGTTTGGGGCATAGATTTTATGGGCCCCTTTCCACCTTCTTTTGGGAACCAATATATATTGGTTGCTGTAGATTATGTTTCCAAATGGGTGGAGGCTGCTGCCTTACCCACAAATGATTCCAAGGTGGTAATTAAATTCTTGAAAAAGAATATTTTTACCCGATTTGGAACTCCAAGAGCCATTATAAGTGATGGAGGTAAGCACTTTGCTAGTAGACAATTTGAAGCTCTTTTAGCTAAATATGGAGTAAAGAATAAAGTTTCTACTGCTTACCATCCACAAACAAGTAGGCAGGTGGAAGTTACAAATAGAGAAGTTAAAAGGATTTTGGAGAAAGTTGTGAATCCTTCAAGGAAGGATTGGTCCCTTAAATTAGATGATTCTTTGTGGGCCTATAGGACAGCTTATAGAACACCTTTAGGTTGCTTTCCTTACAAGCTGATTTTTGGTAAAAATTGCCACCCACCCTTAGAGCTTGAGTATAAGACATATTGGGCTACCACACAACTGAATGTTGATGCCACTGCTTCAGGAGAAAAGAGGCTTCTTCAACTTAATGAAATGGATGAATTTAGATTAAATGCTTATGAAAATGCCAAGTTGTATAAAGAACAAATGAAGAGAAGGCATGATAAGCAAATTTTGGATAGGAAGTTTCCAGTGGGGGAACAAGTCCTGCTTTTTAATTCTAGATTAAAATTATTCTCTGGGAAATTGAAATCTAGATGGTCTGGTCCATTTAAGGTCACTAAGGTACATCTTCATGGAGCTGTAGACATTTTGAGTGAGAAAGATAGTAGGAAATTCACTGTTAATGGGCAAAGATTAAAACATTATTTTGGAGAGTTCATAGAGAGAGCAGTTATTTCCATCTCTCTTTGTGACCATTCTAGAGTGTAAAAACAAACACAGTGACAAAAGTATAGCTTAAGACTTTAAAATTAGCATGATTTGTTTTGTTTGAATTATTTTTTTTTCTTTCTCTTCTGTTCTGAGTTTGTTGATATTTTTTTTTTTAATTTTTAGTTTCCAGTTAAAAAAAAATAAAAATTTTTTTTTTGAAAATAAAATAGCTGTTACTGACACTCTTATTTCTTTTGTTCCAGGTGTTAGTGAATTCTTTTTGCTGATTTCTGGAAGAAGATCCAAATTGAGTTTGGGGAGTGGCCTAAGTATCAACTTGGTGTTATTATTGCTATTTTATTTCTGTTTTTGTAGTTTCAATTCTCTGTTTTTAATCATTTTTTTTAGTTCTTTGCATCATGGTTAGAAATCATATTTTGCGTAGTGGAGGACCCCACAGTCCAAAGCTCACCCCATAACACCTAATCCTGAGAGTTTTTCCCTCTCTTCTTTTACATGTGAAAAAGCCATAGAGAGGTTTGAAAAAACTATGCTTGTCAGAGACCCCACTCCTGACAAGTGATTTGAGGAAAATGCCCCTTTTCCCGAATATGTCTATGAGGTAGTTCGAACCTAGCATTGGGAAAAGTTCTACCTGCATCCTAAGGACACTGCAAATGTCAGTGTTGTGAGGGAATTTTATGCTGAAATTCTGGACAACAGTCAGACTGCAAAGAGTGTTAGAGGTATTAATGTGTCCTTTGACCCTAAGGCTATTAGGGAATTCTTTTCCCTACCTAAGACCCCCCAAAGATGAATTTGAAAAATACTAAAAGAAAAATGACCATGATTTAATGTTAGAAGTGTTAGGGGGTCATAGCTGTCAATGAGATATAAATGACAAAAATTACACTCTGCAGAAACATCTTTTAAATGAAAAAACACAAACCTGGTACCACTTCATTAGAGCTAGGCTGCTGCCCACTACACATGTACATATAGTGACTAGGGACAAAGCTGTTTTGTTATGGTGCTTATTGGTTGGCAAATCTGTGCCTATTTTAATAAAATATCGAGAATTCCTAAGTTTCTTCTTACTCATAAGTTCCCCTCATTTACCTGTTACATGTTACATAATAGAAGACTAATCTTCATAATACAACTATTCAGGTTGGGACAGGACAGATTTTTTTTTTTTTTTATATATATATGAATTACTTCAACCATTTAGCTACTTAGGACCCTTGGGTGTTATTCTCAACCTTCTGATTATATCTTTCAATCTTTCCGTTGTTTATAGTTGTTTTCCATTCCGCTAGCATCAACTCAAGGCATGGAGGCAATCATACTCTACTATACAACATCACACAACATGAAAGCATACTGATAAATTGATAAGTTTTAATTTTTATTCTTATTTTCACTTTTCAACACTAAAAAGTGATCATTCCAACGTATAGCTCTCAAAAAGTAACTTGTAATAAAAAAAAAAAAAAATCTGATTCAAACTCTTTGAAATTTTACGGTAATTTGAGTTATATAATTAATTACATGACTTATACAATCAATTACATTAATAAATTAATGGTGAAATAGGAATAAATTGATGTTAAGTTTTAGTAAAATATCAAAATTTTAAATAGTATAAAAATGGAAGGATACTGATAATTTTTATTTTAAAGAGTGGCAAAGGGTAAAAAAGCCAAATATCTGTAAGTGAAATTAATTATAAAACCCCCCGCGCCCTAACCCTTGAATAAAGTTAAGAGAAAGCAAAGTGTAAAAGTTGAAGTCTCAACTCTGCGACTTAGTGTTGGTTTATCAAGATTTCAATAGTGCAGTGCAGTGATGGCTCATGTTTCCGATTCTTCTGATGGGTCCAATTCACAAGAACAAGAGCAAGAACGCCCCGTTCTTGATGTTTCTGATTCTGCTGCTGCTCAACAATCTGGAAACGACAAGGAAGAACAATCGCTTGATTCTTTGAACGACAAGGCCTCTGCTGAACTGGAAGTGAAGAAGAAACGACTACTGGAGGAACTTGAATCTGCTTTGGTTCCTAAAGATGGTGCTGAGGTCCAACAAGACTTGCCTCCTCTTAATCCTGTACGACCTTTAGGGATTGAGGTTATTGATGAAACGGCATTGCTCGACACCATTCCTTATGGCACACAAAAGAAACCAAACAGTGTCGCTGTAAAGAATGGAAAACATTCAAGAAAAAGAGCTGGTAAAGGAAATGGAGCCAAGAACAAGAACAAGGAGGAGCCTCAGCCTCAGCCTCAGCCTCCAATTGCAAATAGCAAGAACAACGCTAAGTACTCAAGAAAGGAAATGGAGGCTCTCAGGTTTGTGAATGTGGCTCAACAACGCAAATTCTGGAAAGCAATATACGCCGCCCTTGAAACCGCTGTCGCCAATGAGTATGATACCTTGGCTTTGGCTACTGCTCAGCTTCAATGCCTTCCAAAGAAGAAACAAGCACCACCAATCCTCAGTATGTATTATATTGTTACATTTGCTTTCTTTCATGCTCAATTTTGAATTGACATTTGCTGGAATGGTCTTTCTTGATATGTGCTTTTCTGTGATGGTGATGGATGTTAGGTGAATGGGTCTTTCTTGATTATTAGGAAATTAAAAAGAAATAAAATCTTGTTGTGAAGATGTGGAAGTCAGTGTTTATTTTTGCTTAATCATCTTCTTGATTTGTCAGTGCTGCAAGATTTCTCTTCTTTGACTTGTCTTTTGATTATATATTCTTGTGGTAACACATGGAGCAACTGTAAGAGGAGAAATCCATTCTGGTAAATGAGATAAGAAAAATTGGTGGTAACACATGACATGGTACCCTGTTTGGTGATCGCGAGCTACAAGCCTCGTTCCTTGTTGTGAACATAAGGAGTTTCTGAAATGTGACGATGTCTCTTCTTTGCACTGAACATTGTTTGAAGTTGCCTCCGCTTGCTATTACTCAAGTACTTGAGTAACTTTAAAGTAGTTTGAATTTTTTGCATGGAGCTCGAATATATCCTTGATTACTTTAGGTTGTAATTACATCCATGATTATAAAAGGTTTATTTTTCCAATTTTACTTTTTCTTTTTGAGTTTTTCTGTTGGTGTTTTCCGTGGACACTTGCAATTTGCAAACATACAATGTTTTTTGAAAATATTTTTTCTTGAATTACATAACCCCACTTAGACGGATATGGCTTGGTTATTGTTTTTTTTTTTTTCAAAAAAATAAAATAAAATTCATTTTTATAGTGGTTTTGATAATTGTCTGTGTTCTTATTTTTTGCCTATGAGCTTCCTTTCTTCTTCTTCTTCCTTTTTTTGTTGTTGTTTTATTTATTTATTTTTTGGTGGGCTGCAAAGATAATAAGCGATTCTTTCTGATGAAACTTTTAAAAAAAATTCCTCTGACTTTTGTACTTTTTTTTTTGTTTATCGAACTCTGCCCTGGTTGTTGGCTCATATTGTGTCAATTTGATGTTTTCAATTTCTGTGATGGACAGGTGTGGGTGCTACCAATGGAAGATGGAGATATGTGAATGTCTTTGTGCATTGAAGAATGAGCAAAAGGAACCTGGGAAAGATCTAATCTACAAAATTAGTTGACCATGTTATAATTTTTGTACTTTGGCACTGACTTCAGTTGCGTAGTTACTTGAATAAAGTCATTGTATATAAAAAATCTTGTGCAGTAGGCTTGATTGTAAATTTGTAAGATACTTTGGTCATACAATAATGAGGATACTTTGTTGTTTACATTCATTTTTTTATGTTGTATGTTGAGAGTTAATTTTTCAATAGGATGTTCAATTTCTTTCCTACGTTGTGCTTGAATGAGAAGAACATGCTTTACCAGATTATTGTTGCTTTCACAGATACTAAATCATATATTTATTCTGTCTTTATCCTTAAATTATTAACAGATCAACTGTGCTGGTGCTGAAATTTTTTTAATTGCTTTCAGGTGCAAAGCATTGTGAAAATATGGATAGTGAATCACAACTCAAGGAAAGTAGTGAAAATGTGATTCCTGTTGATCCTTCTTGTAGTCATAGTCTAATGGGTGTGGATGGGTGCTCAATTTCAGAAGAGTGCAGTGAAGATGATGACAGTGAGGATGATAATGCTAGCATCCAAAGGCCTGCCTTTTTGGTCGAGGGAGAACCTAATTTTGATTCTGGTCCACCTGAAGATGGATGGGAATATCTTAGGCGTGTCAGGTATTATTGTAACTGTCAGCAGCTGATTGCTGGTGATGATATGGATTTATGCTTTGAAATTATCTTTCTTTCTGATAATTTCATTTTTTTGTTCTGCTCTCCCTAGAATAGTAATTCTCAATATTATTGAGGATCATTCCAGCTCCTTATTAAAAGTTTTGAGAAGGCACGTTGCAACTGATTCTAACAGCCAGGCCTTAACTTATGGTGCACTTACTTGAAACTCTGAATTTTGTGAAAATTAGGTTACTTCTAACAGCTCCGTCTAATCAATATTGAGATACAAAATGCAGCCCAACATTACAATTGTAGTGGGCACACTACTTGAAACACTAAAGTTTGTAAAAAGTTGGGGACAGAGAGTGGGGGAAGCCTGCTATATAGGCATTATATTAAGCATATGCTTTGAAATGAGTCAGGTAAGTGGGTATTATTTTGTTCACGCAGATTTTATTATTAATACAGTTGAAGTTCCACTCATCAGTGTCAGATAAGTATTTGAATTCAATCAAAGTTCAAAACATGTCTACAATTATGAGCTTCGTGGAATAAATTTGGACCAAGTATCTTGAAGGGATGGAAAGGGAGAATTATATATCATGCAGTGGTTACCTAGAATATGATTTAAATACTAGGGGAATATGGTAGGAAACTATAGCCTATATTGGAGGATATATATATGTTACATCACCTCTAGGTTTTGGGTCATTTAAATGGTGGTGAGCATGAGAAACTTCACTGTAGCTTACCCCGGTAAGAGCTTGATAGAATAGCAAGTTTCTTAAACTTTTTTTACTTTTATTTTCATTTATTTATTTATTTTGTCTTGCTTAGGTGGGAGGCAGATCAAATTCCTAAAGTGAAGGTAGCCAAACTTGATAGAAGTAAACATGAGAAGGAACAAAGTGCTTACATGCCCAAGATTCCTGATATTGCCAAGTGTCCTGAGCATCTGTTGCCAATGAAACAGTGGGAGGATGTATTTCTTGCTGAATTTTCAGCACTGAGGAGGGTATGTTCTTCAAGAACCTATTTATGTAATCTCTTTTTCCTTCTTCATTTTCATTTGGATGAGCAATACTCTCTTTATCCAAGAGTTATGCTATTCCTGCCCCAGTTTGTGCACACCAATTGCTCACCTAAACTCACGACTGCATCTTTTACCCATGTAAATTTCTTAAATGTATCTGGACAAATAATAGAGTCATTTAAATTTGTTCATATTTTTTAATAAATAAACTAAGATGCTAATTGATGTCCCCACTAACAAGGTATTGGTTTGCGGCTGTGCTTTATCTCCATAATTCTTTAAAGGACTGACCCTGTTTCCTCAATTTTCCTCTTAACTTCTTATTCCAGAATCTCTCATGTCTTGAAGGTTCAAGTGCCATGCATTCCAGTAATCTACAATCCGTTCATTCCTCCCAACTACTTGGGAACAATTGTGGAGAATCTGCTAGTGCTATGAACAGAGATGTCCTACTTAATAATCATTTGAACATTGGAAAGGCGATTGATCAACCTATTAACATGATTGCTGAAGATAGGGATCGCGCACTGCATCTGAAGAATCCTGGATCAAAAACTTCCATTGATCAAGCTAGCAGCAGCTCTCTCAGCCCCCCTTTGCTTTCTGCAATCTTAGGAATGGACTCTGTAGCCAGGGTATCAATGTTGCAGAAACGAATTAGCTTGCTAGAGCCTGCAAATACTATCACAAGAAATGATTGCATGTGCCTTTTTGCTCTTTGTGCAACAGTTGATGATCCACTTGATGCTGACACTAGCGCTGCTCTCAGGAGTCTGTTGCGGAAGTGTGCTAGCATACGTGCTGGAAAGGCTGAACTCGATGACGAGGTTGTAATGTTGAATATACTGGCTACAATTTCAGGGAGATATTTTGGACAATCTGAAAACTAAATTCCCAGTTTGTAACGTAACTTTGTTATGGCACCTTATGTTTTGTTTGGGAACTAGAATGGAGCCAAGAATATATATGGTTATAATTATTCAGATGATGCATGAGGTTTTTATAATGGGATAGTTTTATGTTTTTATGTTCATAATGGACGCATAATATTTTTTTGGACTGCGAAGATTTCTTGCTCTTAAATGCATGCTAAAGAAGATTTTTAAATTCCTTTATAATTTCATTTTGATAATATGAAAGCATTTAGCAAAGTTTTTGTGCTTATAATTTGAAAGTTTCTAACAGAGATTGATAAATTCATTGCAAAGCTAATACAATATAATATAGCGTAGTAGATAATACTAGTCAAATTTATTGTTGGTTTTAACGCCGGGCTTGGGCTACTAGTCACTACGGTACATGTTAGTTTGATGCTCCGCTCAGCGAGGAAGGGGGAGCAACTTATCATTGATAATCTAATCACAGAGAGAGGAACCAAACAAAAACTACATATGTTGTCTGCCAAAACTTGCACCCTTCCTTCCCATTTCCCACCACCATGCCATTGCCGCATCACACTCGTCTCCGCTTCCTTTGGCCGCCGCAGTCGCAGTCGCAGCCGCAGACGCCTGAACAAACTCTCCGCCCCTACCACTACCACTCCCACCTCCAGCTCTTCAGAACTGAAACTGGAAACCATCATCGACCTCACTCACCTCACCACTTTCGAAACTCTCTTGGATTCCAATATTCGGCGATTCGTTTCATCAGGCAGAGACGCTTACCGCGATTTGCAAACCCTGATCACTCTCGACGATAACCGTAGACTCGTTGTTTCGTGTCGCCCTTCCACTTTGCATTTCGTGGGAACCTCAGCGGCTTTGAGCTTGGTCGCATTTTCTGTTTTCAGGGTTTTGGTCCAATTGGTTTCTAGGTTTTGGTCTTGGCGTCGAAACGCGTCTAGCTATACGCCTATGGTACGGAGGGACCGTAGTCTCGGCGGGAAAGAGGTCGTTGTTGGGTGGGGCCAGAGGAGCCTTCCCAATCCCAAGGTCCCCGCGAATCCGTTATCGCCGGTTCAGTCCTCTGTGAAGCTCTCTTCGAAGAATAAGGTTCGGTTCGAAAGGAAATTGCCGAAATGGTGGCCAACTGTAATCGGTGGTGCTGTTTTCGACGTGAATGAACAGGAGGAGTACAAGAGGGAGGCTTACAGAGTGGTTCGAGGTTTGTTTTTTCTTTTTGACCTTTTTTTTTATTACTTATTTTTGTTTTGTTCCCTCCAATTACATTGCATCCTTGAAATTGTTTGCAAATCAGAGATATATTTGGTTGAAGAGAAAATAATTCAATGAAACAAGGTTTCTCGTGGCTGACAAACTGATGTCTGTGATCTCTCTTTGAAGGTTCAATTGAGTTTGTATTCACAAAAAAATTATATTGAGCCTCTTATTAGCTTAAAATATGCAGAGAGGATGATGAGAAGAGTGACTTGTTTTAATGAGGGGGAGGAGGGTAATAACACTCCCATAAGTAACTCCTGTTTCCTTTTAATTGAAATGCATTGTTTTGTTTAATGGTAATTTGTTACTTGCAACGTTTATTGACTATTACAATTGTTCCTAGTGTTTCCAGTCCAGTGTCTGAATGAATTGTGATTCTATTCTCCGACTTTTTTGCAGGTAAAGATACATATTTCATAATTTCCATAGTGTTTTGCCATCCTTAAGTTCAAGTTGCAACTCACCCACTTGATTTCCAGCAATCATCAACAGTAGATTGGGCGGAAATGACATCATGGAGAATGATATAATTCAAGTCAGTTTTTTTCCCCATTCATTTACTTAATTGTCAGATTATGTATGCAATTTTATGCAATATTTATTGTTAATATTATTTTGGGAAAAATAGCATGCATATTAGGTTATGCTTCGTATTGCTTTTGCTTTGAGTGCCTTTAAGAAGAAAAAGACGTAGTAGGCCTTTGGTAAGCTCCGCATCAACTGCTACTTAAAAATTTAATGCGGTATGTGGTACTGGTCTGTGAGTTTTAATATTCCCCTTATTTTTCCTAATTCCTATCGTAAAGAATCAATTCAACCAAAAATCTTAAGGTGTTGGGTGAAGGCTTTTTTAATGATTTATATTATTCTCTAACACACCCCCTCAAGCAAGAGCCCTTTGGGCTTGAAACGTGGATTATGCACAGGCCCAGTTTTTTGGTTTACCTTTTGTGCTTTTTATTTTAATTCCACTTTAAAGTGGGGGCGATGAGGATCGAACTTGTGACCTTGTAGTCACTCCAGCTCTGATACCGTGTAGTCCACGCGCCGCCTTCCCGGAACTTTTTTTCCGGCGGGACCTGCCCAGATCATCTCGTCAGCCTCTTCTCTACCTATTTCAGTGGTCAGATCTAAAATCGGAGCAAATTGTTTTTTGGGTCCACGGTCAAACCTTCTCTTTCTATTCATGGCTTCCTCAGATCGTTCTTCCGCTTCCTCATCTGCCCCAAATTTTCAACCCTTTGGAGACAACTTAGGTATGCAGATCACTAGTCACCGGGTTGAACGGTAAGAATTTTCTGCAATGGTTTCAATCGGTGAAGTTGGTCATCCGGGCAAAGGGTAAGATGAGTTATCTCGAGGGAAAAATTAAGAAACCTGCTGAGGATTCTCCTGATTATAAAAATTGGGAGATTAATAATTCCTTGGTAATGGCTTTGCTGACTAATTCCATGGAACCACAGATTGGCCAAACCTATTTGTTCTTCGATACTGCCAAGGAAATTCGGGATGCTGTTCAACAAAATTATTCAGATCTGGAGAATACCTCTCAAGTCTTTGAACTGAGAAATAAGTTGAGAGACTTTCGTCAAAGGAGTATGACTATTACTGAATATTTTACTGCACTAACAAATTTATGGCAGGAATTGGATCTTTATTATGCATCCGATCTTAAGGGATTGGAAGCTAATACCCAGTTTAAAAAACACTTGGAGAAGGAACGACTTTATGATTTCCTTGCCGGACTCAACCGAGATCTTGACGAGGTTCGTGGTCGAATATTGGGCCAGCGACCGTTACCCTCACTTGTTGATGCCTTTGCTGAAGTTCGTAGAGAAGCTAGTAGACGGAGAGTTATGTTGGGAGAAAAGGAGTCAATTGATAAGTCTGATGATATGTCTGCATTAGCTGCCAACCGTACCATTGACCGTTCCTCTGGAGAATCAAAACGGGATGGTCGTCCATGGTGCACCCACTGCAATAAAATTGGTCATACCTGTGAGAAATGTTGGGAAATCCACGGGAAACCTGCAAATTGGAAGCCAAAAGGACAGAATAAAGGTCGTGCATATCAGGTCTCTACTGATGACAAGGTTGATGAGCCTCGTGCATTCTCTGACTCTGATGGTGTCTTTCTTAGCAAGACTCAATTTGAACAACTTCAGAGACTTCTGACTCAACCTCCTAAGGCCACTAGTAATGTGGTCCAGCAAGGTACAACTATCCATGTTGATAGTCAAAATCATTGGATCCTTGATTCTGGAGCCTCTGACCATATGACAGGTAATCTGGGCTTGTTTTGTTCATACACTCCATATTCTGAACCCTCTCGGGTCAAGATCGCCGATGGCAGTTTTACCCAGATTGCGGGACACAGAACCATTAAACTTTCTGAACTGATTAATTTAACATCAGTTCTTTATGTTCCTTCTCTGGCTTGTAATCTCATTTCCATAAGCAAGCTGACTTCTGAGTTGCATTGCTTTGCTAAATTCTTTCCACATGGTTGTGTTTTTCAGGAACAGGATTCAGAGAGGATGATTGGCAGTGCTAGAGAGGATGGTGGACTTTACTACTTTGAGGAGGATGTGACTCATGAAGCTGTTTTCGTAGAAAAAAACTCTATGTTTCCTTTTGATTAATGTAATGATGTTATGCTGTGGCACCGTAGGCTGGGCCATCCCAATTTTATTTATCTTCAGAAGTTATTACCAAACTTATTTATTAATAAAAGTCCTAGTTTGTTTTCTTGTGACATTTGTCAACTTGCCAAGCATACTCGTGCTCATTATCCTTCTAAAGTTCACCATGACTCTTCCCCATTTTCCCTAATTCATAGTGACATGTGGGGTCCAGCCCGTGTTAAGAATATTTCAGGTGCTCGATGGTTCATCACCTTCATTGATGACCATTCCCGAGTTTGTTGGGTATATCTTATAAAGGACAAGTCTGATGCTGCGTCCATTTTAAAAAAATTTCATGCCATGGTTCAAACCCAATTCCAAGTTGCTATGCAAATTCTTCGTATAGATAATGGCAAAGAGTATTTTAACTCTATTCTTGGAGAATATATTTCCCAACATGGCATCCTTCACCAAAGCTCGTGTCCTGACACACCCCAACTAAACGGAGTTGCGGAAAGAAAAAACTGACATCTCCTTGAAGTTGCTTGGGCTCTTATGTTCACCATGAGTGTTCCTAAATATCTTTGGGGGAAAGCCGTTCTCACTGCCTCGTATCTGATAAATCGAATGCCATCTCGCATTCTAAAATTTCAGTCTCCTCTTTCTATTCTTTTCCGCACCTTCCCTTCCTTCTGAGGCGTCTCCTCCTTACCTCTCAAGTTATTTGGTTGCGTTGTATTTGTCTATATTCCCTCTCATCAACGGTCTAAGCTTGATCCTTAGTCTCTCCAGTGTGTCTTTATTTGTTATTCTCCTACTCAACGTGGCTATAAGTGTTATTCACCCTCTCTTCGTAAGGTCTTTGTCTCTATGGATGTCACCTTTTCTGAGAATCACCTTTCTTTCCCTTGACTTCTCTTCAGGGGGAGTCTATAGGGGCAGATGAAGATAAGTCATGGGAACCTACTGATGCCACAGTATTACCTCTATTATTGGAAACAGGGGGAGCTACAGAATCCTCACCATCAGGAGCCTCCCCAAAATGGGGACAAGTTTATAGCAGGCGAAAGCCTCCTCAAAGTGTGAATAACCCAGAGCCTCTACACTGCCAGGATTTTGAACCATGTTCTAGTTCCAGCACCCCAACACTTGAGTGCCATGATGAAAATGATCTACACTTGCCTTTTGCTCTCAGAAAAAGTACTCGATCTTGTACTACTCATCCTATTTCTAATCATATTTCATTTGAAAAGTTGTCCCCAGGGTTCCGTGCTTTCAATACTTTGTTGGATAGTACAAAGATACCGAGAAATATACATGAGGCTCTCGATGATCAAAAATGGAAGGATCCTGTCTTTAAAGAAATGAATGCTTTAGAAAGAAATAGAACTTGGGAGATAGTGACCCTACCAAAGGGAAAACAGGCAGTAGGATGCAAATGGGTGTTTACAATAAAATTCAATGCAGATAATAGCATCAACAGATACAAGGCAAGATTGGTTGCAAAGGGTTTCACGCAGACTCATGGGATAGATTATCATCAAAGGCTTTGGCTCCAGTTGCTACAGTCAATACCATCCGAGTTCTCTTATCATTTGCTGCCAACCTAGATTGGCCTCTACAACAATTAGATGTGAAGAATGCATTCCTAAATGGTGACTTACATGAAGAAGTCTATATGGATCCTCCACCTGGTTTTGAAAAGGGAAATGGATCAGTGTGTAAACTAAAAAAGTCTCTATATGGGTTGTTGAAACAGTCTCCTAGAGAATGGTTCGACAAATTCTCTACAAAGAAGAGGTTTCATTCAAGCACAGACTGATCATACTCTCTTCCACAAACACTCTAAGGATGGTAAAATTGCTATTCTTATTGTATATGTAGATGATATAGTTCTTACAGGTGATGATATTGAGGAATTGAACTCCTTGAAGAAATATCTAGCAGCTCAATTTGAACTAAAAGATCTTGGCACTCTCAAAAATTTCCTTGATATGGAAGTTGCTAGGAGCAAAACAGGCATCACTCTCACACAAAAGAAAATATGTTCTAGACCTTTTGTTGGAAACAAGAATGTTAGGGTGTAAGCTTGCTGAGACACCCGTGGAACCTAATACCAAGTTAGGTATTGAAGATGGGAATGAGGTGGATAAAGAACAATATCAGAGATTGGTTGGTAAACTAATTTACTTATCTCATATGCGTCCTGACATTGCCTTTGCGGTGAGTATAATTAGTCAGTTCATGCACTCACCCAAGGAGAAGCATCTTAGTGCAGTCTATAGAGTGCTTAGATACCTTAAGAACACTCCAGGAAGAGGATTATTCTTTAAAAAAGGGTATAAAAGGACGATTGAAATCTACACTGATGCAGATTGGGCAGGCTCATCAGTAGACAAGAGATCTACCTCAGGCTATTGCACCTATATGTGGGGAAATCTTGTTACTTGGAGAAGCAAAAAGCAAACAGTGGTTGCAAGTAGTGCTGAAGCAGAATTTCGAGCTTTAGCTCATGGAGTTTGTGAAGGAATCTGGTTGAGAAGACTTCTTCAAGAGTTGAAGATTTCATATTCCCTACCAATAAAACTATATTGTGACAACAAGGCAGCTGTTAGCATTGCTCAAAATCCTGTGCATCATGATCGAACAAAGCACGTGGAAGTTGATCGTCACTTCATGAAAGAAAAATTAGATGATGGAAGTGTGCGTATGATGTATGTTCCAACCAAAGAGCAAACTGCAGATATTCTTACCAAGGGCCTACACCGTCCAGCATTCGAAGACTTGATTGGCAAGTTGGGAATGATCAACATTTACCTCCCAACTTGAGAGGGAGTGTAGAAAATCAGAATTCAAATATTTTCCGTTTTTATTTCCTATTAATTAGGATTGATTAGGATTGATTGTGATTAGGATTGATTAGTCATCGTTGAGTCATTTTTTGCTATTCTTTCTTGTATAAATACTCCTCATGTAATTTATTCAAATCAATATACAGAAAACCTTTTTTTCAATACCTATAAAAAATGCTCCTTTTAGTTAATATTAACTAACATTACGAATCATGGTTCTAAGGTTTTGTAAAGTGATACTGATCAATATGTATGCTAAGCATTTGTCTAACTGATGTTAATTAAATAATTAAAACACCACACTAATGATTTCTAATTCTTTTATTGATGTGTGCATATATTAAATCTTTTCTATAATAAAAGGAAATTGATTAATTTGTTTCTCTTCTCATAATACTTGGACTGTCTGTTGCCGGTGCACATGAACAGTTACGTCAACTATGCAGAATTTCTGGTGTACAAGTGTCTGTTGAACCAACAAACATTCGGGATTCCTTGTACCGAGCATCTGTTAACTTTGTTTTAAATGTTTGCAGCAGGTGTGATTCTCTTAGGCCAGCATTCTTGTCTATCTCTTTGTTTACTAATATTGGAAGTCATGGAACCGTTAATCATGCTGTCTACTCCTGTTTAATGATTTTGTAATTACTGGTTGCTTTGTCTCTATTCAGTGCACCAACTTACTCTACATCAATTGATATTAATGGTGAGGATGCCCTGCAATTCCTTGCTGGATTTTCCGAAAACATTGGTCTTGAAAATGTTCGTGCTGCAACAATTGTGTCTGCAGCAGTTGCTGCGCGTACACGCTCTTGTCTTCTTCAGGCTTGGGTAATTTCTTATCCTAAATCTTATGATCGGGTAGTATCGTCTATTATCATCTGGGTTTCTACAAAGACTATGGGTCTTAATAATGAGTTCTGAACCTGAAAGTATTGTAACTTAATGCTTGAAATTTGGGCCTCAAATAACTCACTTCTAGAAACTTCATGTTTGTCCTCTTGAATGCTCCTTCAAATTCACGCCTTTGTTGGTGTTTTCATTCATAGGCTCTGGAAATGCAAGGAAAAAATGTTGATGCTATGGTAGAACTGTCAAAAATATGCCTTCTTCTACGAATATTTCCTCCTGAGGAATCTTCAGTATGTATCTTCATTCTTCAACAATAATTTGCAAAAAAAATTTCCGTTAAATTTCTCCACTTCTCTTGAATGAATTATTTATTTGTTATTTTCTTTGTAGTTATTCCTCACTTAGTGGGATAAGGCTTGGTTGTAATTGTCTCTTTATAGTTATTCTTTATTAAAACTGGATGTTACCTCTTACTTACAGTGGCTGTAATATAATAGCATTTGTATGTTGTCTTTGATTCCTCTAAACGTTAATTCACTGGTAATTCTTAATGTTTGCATGAATGAGAAGTGAATAATTCTTAATGGGTGGGTGGTTGGGGGGGGGGGGGGGGGGGGGGGGGGGATTTGAGATAAGGACCAAAGGACCAAATAACCACTCATTGTGGTTATTCCGCTTCATTTTTGAATTTTTTTTAATAGAAAAATACTTGTATTAGTGAAATAAGAGGGAAAGTACGGGAAGAGAAGGATAAGAAATCCTCCAAAAGAAGAGAGAACAAAATACATTGGGTGAAAAGAAGGTAAAAAGTGCAACAATTGTGTCCAATCTCTATATACCTGTCTGAAATGGCAACTCACTTGAAACAACCATTAGCATTGCACCAGAGAGAGACCATAAACACAACCCTATGTCACTGTTTATGTCCTCTTCAGGGACTGCTGTTTTGAACATACAAAAATATCTAAACGGAGTACTTCGATGTGGTATTATGTAGATTGAAGGATTTTTCTTCTAACCTTGTCTGCTGCAGCATATGATTTATGTATTGACTTGTTGCTCTCTAATAACACTTATTGTGGGTGTTCCTCTGTAGCCTGAAATGGAGATGGTTAGTCGGGGTCTGGAGAAACACTTGAAACTGGAACAAAGAAAACATCTTATGTTTCTCTTTGGGAAAGTTTGTGGTGAGGACAGTCACAGGATTGCAAGAGAAGCCCTTGGTTTGGTGCGAAACTGTTAACCTATTTTGCTGATTTTGCACCAATAAATACTTGCTTACAATTTAATTGTAATATAACTGGAACTGGAACTACCTTGAGTTGTTTAAATCTTATTACAGATGCCACAGTAAGAAGTCTTTATGAAGAATATTCCTGCAATGGGGGTGTTAATAATGTGAAGGTTATCCAGTCTCAAAATATATTTTTGGTTCTTGGCATGTTTAGGGCTTCTTATTCTTTATTTATTTTGTTATCAAAGTTAGTGCTTTTGTACATTTATCGTGGACTTTTCACTTCGCACTGAATTATATTCTGCTCGTGTATGATGGTAATGAGCCATAGAACTCAGCAAATTTCCAAAAGCAAAAGCGAAAGCAATGTTACTTAACTGCACTGTTGAAATTAAGCTTTACCTTTTTTCAGTTTGCTTGTTAGTTGTCTTGTGTTATTTCTTGATTTGGAATGTCAAATCATGTATGTTAGAGGCAAGTGTGTTTTTTCCCGTGTTTTTTTTTTTGGCCACTCATTCAATCTGTTCCTCCTCTTGTGTAGATGGATTCTCAAAATTATTGCACTGATCAACTTGAAGACAACATAGCACCGTGAAAGATTATCTCAGCCTGCAGATTCGTTCAAATAAAAAAAAAAACGAAAAGAAAAGAAAATCTTCCTACAGACTGCATTTTTTTAGAATATATATAATTTAATTTTTCACTTTATATCTGTTAACTCAATAATATTTTGATAATTTATTTTAGTGATGTGAATTGATATTATTTTTATTGAATGGGGATTCTTTCATTCTCTCTAATAACTTTTTCTTTTTTACCATTATTGAAAAGTAAGGAGAAAATCGTCATTTGAACTTGGCCATATCATAATGTTCAATGTTGTTAAAATCTTGTTTCTATTTAGAAATGAAAGAAGATGATAGAACAGTAAATTGTAGAAACATATAAAACATAAATTTTGTTATTTTCGTCATTTAAAACTTGCTTGATTTTGGTTGGTTCGGAATTTGTGACCCAGTAAAAAATGCTTAAATATATACGGAACTGAACATGCTCGATGCTTCTATACTCATGTGCATCATGTGTAAGTACGTATTATAATCATTATTATTTTCTCAATCTGTGTTTTGATCCGTAGGCTCAGAACAAGTCAATGTCCGGTTATGCTCTGCAATAAAGAAATTTATCATTTCATAAAAGAAAAAAGTCAGAAGAATGCTTATCAACCCTGTTATAAAGTTCAGAAATGAACATTTTCTTGCCGGGCATGTTAGTATCAGCAGCTATACTTTTCTGAACCTCATAAATGTTACCCCTATATATATATATATATATATATATATATATATATATATATATATATATATATATATATATATATTGGACTTTTTTGATCTAACGGCTCTCAGATGAGGTGTCAAACTTCAAATTTGACACCAGTGTCAAAGGATCCTACCTATATATATATATATATATATATATATATATATATATATATAGACTAATGCATTACCCGTGTGATGCACGGAGAAAAAAGATCAAAAATTTTATCGACAATCGTCGTTGATTAATCTCTAAAAGAAAGAATGTGTCACTATTTTTCTCTCTCTCTATATATATATACACTAGTGTATTACCCGTGCGATGCAGGGAGAAAATAAATGTTTTGTCTGTCTCGTAAAAATTAATGCAAATCATTGCCCAAATTAGCATCAACCTCCTTCGGAGATCACTCTCTCTCCTTCACTCAATATAAGGTCAGGTGATCACTTACTCCGATCAATAAATCATTTTCTTTCTCTTTCATAAATAAAAGCTATTGTGTAAACCATGGACTCACGTTGATTATTGTTGACTCTCTCTCCTTCAGTATATTTATTTTCATTTGGACAATTTTTTTTTTTAAATTTTTAGTCTTTTTTTGTCACTTATGTGATATTTAATATATTTGGTCTTTTTTTTTCTTATTTTATTTTCTCTTTTCATACATTTATTTTCTTATTTTCTTATTTTGACACATAACACATAAGGAAATATTCTCTCGTCCATTATAGCTAACACTGTTGTGTTGTGTAAGCCATAACTAGAAACTAAAAAGCTAATCGGGGAATGCTGGGTTCGACTGAACACTAAGGATAGCTATTTTTCCGATCAATACATTCTTTCTATCTGAATGCTGGGTTCGAACAGAACACTTGAGGATTGAAGATAAACTCTCCGATCAGTACATTTCTTTCCCCTCTCCGATCAGTACGTTCCTTTCTTTCTTTCTCCGATTAGCACATTGTCGTCCATTGTCATCCATTTCTCCGATCAGTACATTTCTTTCTCTTTCATAACTAAATACTTCTGTGTAAGCCATGGAGTCACACCTAATGATACGCTGGATTGTCACCATTGTCGTCCTCTCCTTCAGCTTGGTGGCAGTGACAACTTTGTCACATGAAGAAGGCAACACATGGTGTGTTGCACGACCGACTGTAACACAAGTGGAGTTACATAATGCTCTTAACTTGGCACGTGGCCTTGGGGTCGATTGTATGGTCATCCAACTACAGGGGACATGCTTCTAGCCAGATACAATAGTCTCGCACGCATCCTATGCATTCAACCAGTATTATCAAACACATGGGCGTTCTGAGGATGTGTGCAACTTTAATGGAATCACGACTCTGACAACAATTAATCTCAGTATGTAATGAATCATTTGAGTGTTCCATTGGAGATATTCATGATTGAATTTTGAAATAATTTGTTTCCTTTCATTTCAGGTTATGAAAAAATGTGTTTATTATGTAGATACTTCTGCTTCACTTCACATGCAACATGGAAAATTGCGGGTAATTGTTTTAATTTCTTATCATATTTTTATCTTCTAATAGACTCTTTTTTATTTCTGCACAGATTAATTTATGAAAATACAAATGTTTGTTAACCAGGTGCTGGAGCAGCTGCATTTGTGGTGGTATGCATCGTTGGTCTTTATGTTATGCTCACTCTTTGGGATGCCAATACAGTACCAATATTGTAGTCTTTATGTTATGCTCACTCCTTGGGATGCCAATACTGTTATATCCCAAAAAATAATAGTAATTTAAAATTATATATATATATATATATATATTAGATGATAAATTGTTGTCATTGAATACTTTATAGAAGATTAACATTCTATTAGATGACAAATTGTTGTCATTAAATACTCTATATGATTTTGATACTTTATAGAATCTTTATATACTGCATCTTTATACAAATTTATCTTTTAAGTTTCGTGATTGCAGTAAAATTTTGATTGGTCAATAGAATTTATTTTGTAATCAAAATGTTTTAAAGCTCTTTTGTTGTCATTGAATTTTATTAGGTAATTCTTAAAACACATCAACGTATGAAATTTTTTTTATGAGCTATAAAGATTGTTGTATAAATAAACAGTAAGTCTCATTATTATCTAGATTTTGTAATTTTTAACATAAAAAATAAAGCAAGTGTCGGCATTTACAACAAGAACAAGAATATTCTCATAAGTTTTGCTATATAAATCACTTGTATTCCCCCACAGCTGTTAGTCTATTATTACAACACCAAAGCACGCACGCTCACAACACTGCCAATTGAAGCGAAAGAAACGTCTAACCCGAAAAAAAAAACCTATACTTTTTTCGTGTGTAACAATAAGGAGGGGGTGATGATGCCACCGAACCAGTGACTCACCAAACTACAAATCCCCCTTTGACTCCACTTTGTTTCCTCACAAACCTGACACCTGATTGGCCCGTCACCTTGAGACGCGTGACTCAGATCTTTCCTCCCAAACACAACACCGCACGAAGTTTTGTGTGAATTCAAAGTAAACAAATAAAAGCACATAACGCTCTCTTTTACAATTCACAATACGCATTTCTCTCTCTCTCCCTCCCTTTGCATATTCCTCGCATATCTCTATCAGAGTTTAAACTCGAATCCCATTTCCATTGATAGAGAGAAACGAGGAGAGTGAATTCGAAATCGTTTTCTCGTTGAAACTCATACTCACGTTCATATCTCATTTGATTCACTTCAAATTCCGTGCTGCCAGCTGCAGATCAAACCGAGTTTCACGTTAATGCTCGGTTTGAACTCGATTTAGGTTTGTCTTTGCTTCCTCAAATCCGAATTTTGATGCTTCATGCCTTCTCATATTTTTGTCGGTGAATCCTTCGTTGTTTTGTTCTTTGCAAGATCTCAGCTCTACATATTCGTGTTTTGTTTGATTTTGTAGGTTTTTGCCTTTTCTTTTGGTTACCATAGGGGATCTCTATTTTCTCTTGGAATTCTATCTTAATTTCGTTTTTAAATGATCTATTAGCTGTGTCTGAAGATCGAGATCTGGGGACTTTTTTTCACTTGCGAATTGATTTGGTTGATTCCGTTGCAGATCGATTTCTTCATATTCTGATAGTGTGGGAGTATATATATGAAGAACGGGATGATAGAATGCAGTGTTTGTCATTCCAAATTGGTTTCCCCTACTTCCAAAACTGTATCGAGGGCTTATGATCGCCACAAAAGTAGGATATCATCCAAGCAACGTGCACTCAACGTCTTCTTGGTTGTTGGTGACTGTATCTTAGTTGGTTTCCAGGTGATTATTATCTCTCAATTGAAATTTTTCGCTCAAATATTAACGGAAGGGGGAGTTCGAATTGACATTCAGTCTTGCAAAATTATGATGTGTGTGATCCTCTTCGGGGTTTGAACTGCTTTTCATATGCTGACATACGGAGTCTTGTAGTTTTATGTCAAAGATGCTACGAGTGATGGTGATTTGTTTCCCTCGGTGTGGAAAAATAAATTTCTCTCTCATTTGCATGTTTAGTGATTTGGAGAACTAATGGAAATCGGCATTCTAGAAACCTTTTTTTTTTTTTTTTATGGATTTGACAAGGTTGGTTTATCTTATTCAAAGGATTATCTTTCATGTCAATCTATTAAAGTGTTAGTTCCTGCATAATGTCTAGTTGACAAAAGGAACATAGGGAATAATTTATAGGGTGCAGGACTCCAAGGCTTTAGAAGAGAGGATTGAGCTGAAAGAAATTGGCTTCTGCTTTGGCATTATGAATAGCATCTTAGGGGTTTAATGATGATTATGACATAGCATTTTTATTTCTACAAACCTAAAACTATTGGTTCATTTGCATATTTCATTTCCTTGACTTGCAGATCTAAACTTTTACTTTTCTAGATTAGCTAATGTAATACTCGAATGTAGATTAGAGAGTTCGTTGTTGTTAACTTGATATTTCGTGCCAAACCTTTGTGCTTTATGTTTAGTGGCTGACATATGTTATTTCTTTTTATTTGGCAGCCTATTCTTGTCTATATGTCCAAGGTGGATGGGAAATTCAATTTTAGCCCTATTAGTGTTAATTTTTTGACAGAGATCACAAAGGTTTTCTTTGCTATTGTTATGCTTTTACTCCAGGTAAAGATCCCTTTTCCTTTGTCTATATTCAAATATATATATATATATATATATATATATATTCAATTACTTATAGTTAAAGCATGTGTGAAGTGAGTAGTAGATAACGAAGGCAGCACGACCACATATATTGAACTAAATCAGTAATAATTTGTGGTATTACTAGGAATTACTGCTTTTATATTGTAGCAGGACATGCCCTAATTTTGTCTACGGTTAAGAGTGATAGAATATTAGAATTTATAACCTCAACCCAAGATCTCCAGTAAGAGATTTCTTGGTTCGTAATGATCATTTTCTGAGTTACTTAATTTAGTGGATGTTCCACTATAGGTCAGAGTTGCTCTATAGTGAATGTCATGATATGCCTCTGTCTGTTTTCTTTGCAAGTACGCAGCAACAGAATCAAAATTTGATAATTGAGGGTATGCTAGGGCACAAGTGGTTTTCAGGCGATGAAGTGAGAATTAAGGGGCCAATTGGTGGTTGTTTGGTTTCTTCGAAACTAAGATTTTAGGCTTGATGGATGATTATATGGAAGATTTAAGCCAAAAAATTCAAGTTTTGGAAAAACAGTTCTAATGCCATTTGTGGAAGAAAATGGGTATGGACGGGTTGATAAGTTGAAGGGAAACATATTATATGTCGCGGAAGTAAATTGGCCAATGCTTTTCACCTAGGGCTCCTTAAGCATCACATTCCAGGTTTACTTTTCGCAATGAAGAGACCAATCTTGCTGATGAAATTCAAGGTTTACATCCATGTAAAAGGGGTTACCCAAACTTAAAAGATTTAGGAATAGAATCCTAATTTTACAAAGTATAAAGCTTTAGGTTTCCTACTGATACTAACCAATGAAGAACAATTATACATTAAAATAAGACCTGGCAATATGCGAAGAACACAAAACTAAAGCACAAACACAGGTTTTACCATGGACTGAAAAAATACTGAAAAATCCTTGGGACTAAATAGATAAACTTAATCTTAGCGGCATATTATGACTGATAATCCAGAAGAATTCTAATCTGGCAAAGTTTATGGAATGATATAACCAACTCCAACATCAAACTAAAATAGTACATCGAGATAGTTTGATCTTTAAGCTAATTTACAATGTTCTTCCCATCTATATAAGCAAGGTTTGATTGCTTGTGCAGGCTAGGAATCAAAAAGTTGGGGAGAAGCCTCTTCTTTCAATTTCTACATTCATGCAGGTACTATGATTTATAATATTAATTTTGTATGAATTGACAGATTTGTGTTTGTTTTTTCTGATATGTGATATTGCTTCAGTGTTTGTCTTTTGCTAGGTTCCCTGCTTTTTGGGATTGAACTAGATTACTCAATTCAAGTTGCATAAGCATGCTTTATTTAAGATAATAAAATAATCATCAAATACATTAGAGTGCATATGTAGGACATAGTGTTCATTCTTACTTTTCATTATATACCTGATTTTGCTTAGTGACCTGACATGTTGTGCCTCATATCTACAGTGAATATGGAAGACCATTTTGTTTTTAAGTTTCTTCCCACCTTTTCTTTATGTAATATCAAAATGTTAGATGCTAGCTTTTCCTGATATCTTTTTGGTATTTATCCTCTATGTGGTAATTTTATCTCTTGTAGGCAGCCCGCAGCAATGTCCTTCTTGCTATCCCAGCACTTCTTTATGCTATAAACAACTATCTGAAGTTTACAATGCAGGTATGTATAATTAGCCCATAAACAATGCATATATAAGGATTCGGCCTATACTGCTATCATTTGGGGTCTTCCTTCCATGGTTAATATGCAAACGTGAGGTTAAAGAATCTGTAACTTTTTGTTTTTAATACATGAGTTTTTGCCTTAAGTGGACAGATATTGGTATTACATTTTTGTAGCCAGTGCTTGTACTATAGATTTATTTTTCCGTATCAGAGGCTCAAAGCTACCTTTAAATCATGATGAATTTCTCATTGCTTAATGTTAGGATTATTTATTGGTTAGGAGTCTTCTTATGTAATAGACTAGTAATCTTATTGTGCTGAGCTTGTCCTAGTAGTACTACACAAGTACTTGACCTGGCTCCTTAGTATAAATAGGCGTTAGTGATTTGTATTATGACACACATCTATCTTCTAATCAGATCAAATATAATTCAGTGGTCTTCTCTCTTTTCCTCTGTTTCCATCTAATCCCTATAATTTCAACAGTGCTTATATTATAATGAGCTGATAGATTCTTGTGTTGCTCATGCATCATGTATCAAATGTATGATATATTTCCTAGGCCGTGTCTTAGCGAATGGCCATTGCATGAGTTGTGCATTTGTATGTATCTTACCTTTGAAATTTCGTTGAGAGTATAGAGTCATTTTCACTTGTTTAAAAGGAAAAGAAAAGATAGCTGAATCAAGTGATGGACAATTCATATAAGTTACCTATGATTGGTCAGTGACATTTTACACATTTAAAGAAATTATTGAACCTGTAACCCCAAAATAATTTTTTTTTTATTGAACCTAAGGTAACTTACGGGTTGATTTTACATTTTATGCAGCTTTATTTTAATCCTGCTACTGTGAAGATGCTAAGTAATTTGAAGGTAATTTCTCATTCACAGTGCTGTATGATTGAATATCATTATTATTACTGTCCAAATAATGGCTTGCCTATGCATTGCATATGATATAGCTCTTGTAGTGGCTGCTGGATGCCTCTCTAGTAAAACTATTACCTGTGCCTAATATTTTACATTTTACCCGTTTTAGTCTATTGCTCTCAACTGAGTTATTCTTTTCATATTTTTTTGAGAAATTCTCTTATTTTCATCCTTTTTTTTTAATTTCAATATTATTCTTTTTCGTGAAATTATTATCTGAAAGAACTGGAAATATTCTTCTCTTGATAATTCACTTAAGTTGAATTATTTTGTAATGGTTGACTCTTCATCCTGCATGTTGCAGGTTTTAGTAATAGCAGTTTTGTTAAAGGTGATTATGAAGCGCCGGTTTTCCATTATTCAGGTTAGTGGGTTAAGCTGTCTTGCCTATAGGCTTAAGAAAGGTTCTCTGTGGCCATTATTTGGCTCTTCACTGTTGAACTTTAGCAAGTTGTAATCCTTATGCAAATTCCAATTGCTTCTATTCCTTATGTTTGGCTGGTAAATTGATTTATTCTTTTGCTACAGTGGGAAGCTCTTGCTCTATTGCTCATTGGTATAAGTGTTAATCAGCTACGAACTTTGCCTGAAGGAACTACAGCCTTGGGTCTTCCTGTCACGATGGGTGCATATATCTATACATTGATCTTTGTAAGTGATGTTTGTTATATTCTTTTCATCTAAGGATTTTTATTTTGCAATCAGGTCATGTCAAAGTAATTTTGGTTATTCTGTACTTTCATTTTTTTTTAATTCCTTTTTAATTTGGCTGAATTTTAAACTGAGATTTATTTTGCAGGTCACTGTTCCATCTTTGGCCTCTGTTTATAATGAGTATGCTTTGAAGAGCCAATATGATACAAGCATTTATCTGCAGGTGATGTATGGGGAATTGAAAGTTTTTTCATAGTGGACTACATTTTTATTAAGCCCTGAAAATGCTTTAAATCGTTCAAAATTTTGTTTCCGCGAGGAAAGAGAATTATCATATCCTTCTAAAGATGTGTAGTCTACAATTTTAATTAGTTTTAGTTCTTCCTTTATATTGTCCAGTTTTTTCTTGTTTTTTCTTTTGTGTGTGTTTATTATAATTGAAATGTACTACAGTTTATATTGAAAATATAACCTTGGTTAGTGGGACTTTGCTTCGGTTGGGGATGGGCTGGGGTTTTGGATAGAGGTCTTAGAAAAACTAGTAACATGATGTAAATGTAATAGAGGAAACCTTAGAGAAAGAATCTAATAATGATGCTCAACTACCTAAACTAACTCAAAGAATCATCTCGGCACCCTGGTAGACAACAGGGAAGTAAAATAAAAATAAATGGGTAGTTCTAGAACTGCAGTTTGGTGATGCCAGGATATTTTAACTACTATAGTTTTTTACCATGTAGATATTAATTCTCTATTTCTTGATTTACAGAACTTATTCTTATATGGGTATGGAGCTATATTCAATTTTCTTGGAATTGTTGGGACTGCTATTTTCAAAGGTGAGAAATAAACTCTAATTTCTTTATTCTGTTGGACATTTTAAACAAGGTACTAAGCTGTTAGAGAATTATACTATATAAATGTAGTATTTACCTAACAGCTCAAATTTTTGGGTTGAATTGATACTTTACATGGTATCAGAGTTTCTGTGACCAAGTGTTCGCGAGTTCGATTCTCATCACTCATTCTATTAATAAATAATTAAGTATTGTAGAGTTTCTTAGCACAAATAAGTGGACCAGTGCATTGTCTACCATTCAAGTCCAGTGGCTCTTATGTGAAGGGTTATGTGAGGGGATTATAATATAAAATCATTAATGTAGTCTTCATCTAACAATTTAAGCTTTTAGGTTGAATTAGTTCTTTACATAAGCCTTTGAAAAACAATTTAAAAAATATATATATTATATGCTTTGTTTTTAAATTGTTTTGTAAAATAAAACAAAGACTGATTTTTTTCCTACTAAGAGTTAAAACATTTATTTCAATATTAATTCAATTCCAGGAAACAGCTTCTTTGCAATTATGCAAGGGTAAGGCTGCGTACAAAGACTTCCTCCACCCCACACTCGCTAGTCGGGTTTAACGGGGAGTGGTTTTTATTAATCTCTTTCAAATTGAGCCAAATGATAATTCTTGTGTTCAAATCATGTATAAGATCGGTAGGCACTTGGGTTTCATTTCACAAACAAAAGGACAGGACAACCCACTGGTCGAAGCTCCCACCATTGTGTGGTTTGAGGAGGGTTAGATGTATATAACTTTACCCTAGTTAGTGGAGAGATATTTCTGTGATTACGAACCTGTGACCAAGTTACAGACAGCAACATTATCCTTACACCAAGGTTCACCCTCTGGGTTTCAAACTACAGCAAAAGAAAATAAATTCAGGAATTAGATATTCATAATATCAAGGAATTCAGATTATGATATTCACAGTTCAAAAGCATTAGGTTTAATTAATCTCATAATTGATTTTCTAATTCAAAATGAGTCCTGCATGAATGAACATGTGATGGAGTTGGTAAGCAATGAACAATTCTGTGCTTCAGGGCATTGTATTCATGTGTCTCTGTTCTAAATCACTGTGCTTCATATCAAACAAGGCAACAAATAGTCATTTCAACACACGTCATGACACTTTAAGGGCTTCATATAAGCAGACTCCTTCGTTATTAAATAGTTCAATTAGTGATGGTTTGGTTCTGTTTGTCGATTCAATCAACATTGATATGCTTGTGGGATCTATTTATAGAAAAGGGAGGATATTCTCACCACCAAAATTTTTCACTACCAACTTACTACCTATCTAATTACCATTGGATCAAAGAGAGAGAATGTTAAAAAGTTTTTGAAGAGAGAGAAAATGCTAATCCAATGGTGATTAGATAGGTAGTAAGTTGGTAGTGAAAAATTTTGGTAGTGAGAATATCCTTCTTCTTTATAGAAAAGTTCATTAATGCTTTTAATTTATGGCTTAATGGTGTTGCTTTTCCTGATGCTCAAACTGTTAACTGATTTTAATGATGCGGTTTTAAATTGTTCCAGGCCCTAGCAGCTTTGATATCCTACAAGGACATTCAAAAGCCACTATGCTATTGATAGCAAACAATGCTGCCCAAGGGATTCTATCCTCTTTCTTCTTCAAATATGCAGGTCAGTAATTCAGTATATATATATATATATATATATATATATATATATATATATATATATTAGAAGCTAAAAACAAAATTCTGGTATAAAATAATATAGACAACATTATTTGTCCCTTCTCTCAATAACCCATTTAATGTGTTGCAGATACAATTTTGAAGAAGTATTCATCAACAGTTGCAACAATCTTTACAGGCATATTATCTGCTGCACTATTTGGACATACTTTAACAATGAACTTCGTTATTGGCATTTCTATTGTATTTATCTCAATGCACCAGGTAAATTGAGTTTTTAAGATTCTGGTTGGTAATTAAGACTATCAGAAACAAACCACCATTTTTTTTTTTTGAAAAAAATAAATTAAAATTTAGCAATGATATTTTCATTTTGTATCACCATGTGCTCATTTCCTCTTCAGTTTTTTTCACCGCTTTCAAAAGTCAAAGATGAACAAAATGGGGTGCTGGAACTGCATGATGTTCATGACAAACAAAGGTACTTGCTAATTTCTTTTCTGAACTTAAATTTATCCTTTTTGTGAGCTAGACAATGATATGGGTATTGCCTTAATTTTTTACTCCAGAAAACCCTCTTATTGTATTTTTTTTTTTTCCTGACCATTGTATATTTGATTGCCGATTTGCCATAATGTATTGAAGGTTGACCAACCACCTGCTCATTCTGGAGAGGAAGAGGGGAAAAGAATTCCTTTCCATAATTGCAGTTTATGAAAAATTTAATTGTTGAATATTTCTTATTTTTTGATGGCAACATGACAACAAAACTTTGAAGGAAAATCTGTTACCTTCTTCCTCTGCAATAACTAATGCTTTGTGTTATTCCAGGTCAAAGGAATCCTTTATAAATATGGCAGCTGGAGCAAATGAGGAGGTGGGGATCTGTCATCATCTTGTTTTATAATTGAAAGTTTTTTATACGTTGGTCTCATTGCTCAAGGTTTTGTTATTAAAATGCATAATTCCAGGCCAGTCACCGTGCGGTGCATGATGAGAGACAGCCACTTCTTCCCACCTAGATTGACCTACTGTATGTTTTTCTTTCCATTTTATTGTTGTGGGCCTCTTCAAAATCCTGGTTAATTATTTCCTTTTATGGATAACATAGTTTCTTGACCTGCTGAATGATTTTTGTTTCTCTCTTAAATCAGTTTATACTTCATAGTATTTCTAGCCTAAGCAATGCCTTTGTGTTTTCTGCAAATGAAATTCCAAGATTTAACTATTGTTGATTCAAATTTCCCACTTTCTAAAGGTTTATAGCCGATTTTATGCTTTAAACAATCCAATCACTTTTGTGCATATCATTGCAGGTATTTTAAAAGAAAATTTTTTGGTGACGTTGCTGGTAGCATTGGTCCACGCAGTTTGAAGTCATAATAAACGTAAAAAGTTATTTCTGCCTTTCTGGGATAGTTTCCTACGGAAGGGATTTCTCTACTTGGTTGATAAAGAAAGACATGAATTCTTAACTTCAGGAGCTGGTGAGCTAGCCAGGACTTTCATCTGCTGAAGATTTTGATAGAGCATAGAAAATGTCTTCGTAAGAGCTTTTGGAATATCAATGTGGATTTACTTGTACTACATTTAATTGTTATCTTGGACACTGGATTTTTTTCCTTTTCTTTGTTTTTTTTCCTGTTATATTTACTTCAACCCGTTTTATCTCTATCGTGTTATTTTTTACATTCATTACATGATTTTGGCATTTCATCTTTATGAGAGTATGGCCAAAATAAAGAAAATGAGGCTTCCACTTACATGCATATAAAACATATATATTTTTTGTCAGCCCATCTGATATACTTGGTCGTGTTTGTCAATCCATTATATATTTATTTCTATATAGTTGAAAATAATCCTGAAATCTCAAATCATACAAATAATCCCTTTTAGCCTGACTTGGTCTTTTGTCATGTTGTGCTGTTTATGATGATAATATTATTCTAAGTCCATTGAAATCTAACCCCAAGGATTTATTTTAATGGTGGATCAGCCTGTGATATGCAGTAGGATATGGATACTAGTTCAAACCTTAGTTATTAGGGGTCGGTCAGGGTTGCATGCTCTGTTTAACAAATATTATATGTTATGCTTCAGACAAACCCTTTGAGCTTCAGACAAACCCTTTAACCAGCATCTCAAATGTTAATCTTTAAACCGGTAATGGCAAAATAAATGAAATATAATAAAAATATAATAAGTACTATTGTTGTATTATTTTGGGTTATGCTTGCGCACACCCTCAACAATATGTAGCTTTGTTACTACAAGTCTTAAATAAATTATTATGGGGTAGGTATAATTTTGTATAAAAATAAGAAATCTTACATTGTGTGTGTAATTTAAGCAAAATGATCCTCCTTTTTTCATATATTTAATTAAAAAATAATTTAGATGTCAAAAAACTTAAAAACTTAATATATATTAAGTTAAAATATTATTGTAGTTATTTTTATTCTTAAAATAAATAGGTAAAATATCATGTCAATTCACAAGTTAATAAATTGAATAAATAAAAGGTTAACTACGAATCAATTAATAAACAAGCAAAATTTTCTGATGAGCCGCGAACATGTTGACGACTTAACTCATTTAATTTTTTTTTCTCTAATTACGAATATCTTTAAAAGTTTCTTAGCTTTCTATTATATGATTATAATTTATCTCAAACATAAATATTTTTTATTTATTTATCTTAATAAAATAGAAAATGCAAAAAGGGATCAACAATATTAGTAATAATAACTTGGTAAAAAAAAAATTAATTCAGATGAATTTTAATAATTATACGATGGATCACATGCATAAAATATTAACAATTTTAACATAAAAAAGCCCATACTTTTGAATACTACCGTTTGCAAAAGTTAAACTGAATGGTTTAAATTACTTACTAATCATCAGGCATAAAATTGTGAGAGCAGTTAACTTGAAAAAAGAAAAGCCCGTACTATCACAATAGATTCGGACAAAACATTAATAAATAATGGAGAGAGGTATTTCTTTTTTTTCTGTACATCGCACGGATAATACACTAGAATATATATATATATATATATATAGAAAAATAGTGACACATTCTTTTTTTTTTAGAGATTTGCTGACAAAATTTTTAATCTTTTTCCTCCGTGCATCGCACGGGTAATGCACTAGTCTCTATATATATATAAGAGGGAGCATAACACAAAGAACAAGGATGCATATCACCACAAATGCAGCTGCTCCAGCACCTGTGTCAGTGAATCGTTGGTTAACAAATGTTTGTATTTTCATAAATTAATATGTGCAGAGAGATATTTGAAGGTGAAAAAACAATAAGAAATCAAAGCAATTACCCGCAAATTTCCATGTTGCATGTCAAGGTGGAGCAGAAGTATCTACATAATAAACACATTTTTCATAACCTAAAATGAAAGGAAACAAATTATTTCAAAATTCAAGCATGAATATCTCCAATGGAACACTCAAATGATTCATTACATACTGGGATTACTTGTTGTCACAGTCGCGGTTCCACCAAAGTTGCACGCATCCTTAGAACGCCCATGTGTTTGATAATATTGGTTGAATGCATAGGATGCGTGCGAGACTATTGTATCTGGATGGAAGTATGGCCCTCGTAGTTGGATGGCCATACAATCGACCCCCCAAGGCAACCATGCCCAGTTAAGAGCATTCTATAACTCCACCTATGTTACAGTCAGTCATGCAACACACCATGTGTTGCCTTCTTCATGTGACAAAGTTGTCACTGCCGCCAAGCTGTAGGAGATGACGACAACGGTGACAATCCAGCGTATCATCATGTATGACTCCATAGCTTACACAGTAGTATTTAGTTACAAAAGAGAAAGAAATGTATTGATCGGAGAAATGGACGACAACGTACTGATCGAAGAAAGAAAGAAAGGAATATACTGATCGAAGAGGAGAAAGAAATGTACTGATCGGAGAGTTTATCTTCAATCCTTAAGTGTTCGGTTCGAACCCAGCATTCAGAGAGAAAGAATGTACTGATCGGAAAAATAGCTATCCTTAGTGTTCAGTTCGAACCCAGCATTGCCCGATTGACTTTTTAGTTTCTAGTTATGGCTTACACAACACAACAGTGTTAGCTATAATGGATGCTACAATGGACGAGAGAATATTTCCTTATGTGTTATGTGTCAAAATAAGAAGAAGAAAAAATGTATAAAAAGAGAAAATAGAATAAGAAAAAAAAGACCAAATATATTAAATATCACATAAGTGACAAAAAAGACTAAAAATTTAAAAAATAAAAATTGTCCAAATGAAAATAAATATACTGAAGATAAAAAACTAGAAGAAAAAATTAAGAAAAAAAAAATTAGAATAACAAGAAATCACTTATAAGGTTTCAATATATTTAGCTTTATTTTTTCTGTTTTTGTCCTTGGTCTATTTTATTCTTTTTTATTTAGATATGTTTGGTCTTTTCTCTATTTTTATTTTTATTTTTCACTTTTTGATCTATTTTATTTTGATTTTCTCCTCGATTTTTTTTTAGCCTTGTGCCACTCCGCCATAAAGATTTTCATAAAAAATTTTTAAAAAGGAGAATAAAATAGAAATATAAAAAAGACCAAACATATCTAAATAAAAAGAATAAATAGGCCAAGAACAAAAAAAAATAAAAACAAATATATTAGAAATTCATAAATGTGATTTCTTTTTGTTCTATTTATTTTTTATCTTAATTTTTTCTTCTATTTTTTGTCTTTAATATATATATATTTTCATTTAGACTTTTTTATTTTAATTTTTAATTTTAGTCTTTTCTGTCATTGTTGTGATTTTTAATATATTTGATCTTATTTTTATTATATTTTTTTTATACATTTTATTTTTTTTAGACACATAACACATTTATACAAAAAGTTAAATTGAAAAAAGAAAAGCCCGTACTATCACAGTAGATTCGGACTAAACATTAATAAATAATGTAGATAAGTATTTTTTTTTCCATGCATCGCACGAATATTTTATTAGAATATATATATATATAGGAAAATAGTGACACATTCTTTTTTTAGAGATTAATCAACGACGGTTGTCGATCAAAATTTTAATCTTTTTCTTCCGAGCATCGCACAGGTAATGCACTAGTGATAAAGAAAGACATGAATTCTTAACTTCAGGAGCTGGTGAGCTAGCCAGGACTTTCATCTGCTGAAAATTTTGATAGAGCATAGAAAATGGCTTTGTAAGAGCTTATGGAATATCAATGTGGATTTACTTGTACTACATTTAATTGTTATCTTGGACACTGGATTTGTTTCCTTTTCCTTGTTTTGTTTCCTGTTATATTTACTTCAACCCGTTCTATCTCTATCGTGTTATTTTTTACATTCATTACATGATTTTGGCATTTCATCTTTATGAGAGTATGGCCAAAATAAAGAAAATGAGGCTTCCACTTACATGCATATAAAGCGGACTATATTTTTTTTTGTCAGCCCGTGTGATATACTTGTCGTGCTTGTTAATCCATTATATATTTATTTCTATATAGTTGAAAATAATCCTGAAATCTCAAATCATACAAATAATCCCTTTTAGCCTGACTTGGTCTTTTGTCATGTTGGGCTGGTTATGATGATAATATTATTCTAAGTCCATTGAAATCTAACCCCAAGGATTTAGTTTAATGGTGGATCAGCCTCTGATACGCCGTAGGATATGGTTACTAGTTCAAACTTCAAACCTTAGTTATTAGAGGGTTGCACGCTCTGTTTAATAAATTTAATATGTTATGCTTCAGACAAACCCTTTAACCAGCATCTCAAATGTTAATCTTCAAACCGGTAATGTCAACACAAATGAAATATAATAAGTACTATTATTGTATTATTTTGGGTTATGCTTGTGCACAGTCACACCCAACACAATATGTAGCTTTGTTACTACACGTATTAAATAAATTATTATGGGGTAGGTATAATTTCGTATAAAAATAAGAAATCTTACATTGTGCGTGTAATTTAAGCAAAATGAACTTCCTTTTTTCATATATTTAATTAAAAATAATTTAGACATTAAAAAAAACTTAAAAAGTTAATATATTAAGTTAAAATATTATTGTAGTTAATTTTATTCTTAAAATAAATAGGTAAAATATCATGTCAATTCACAAGTTAATAAATTGAATAAATAAAAGGTTAACTAAGAGTCAATTAATAAACAAGCAAAAATTTATGATGAGCCGAGAACGCGAACATGTTGACGACTTAACTCATTTAATTTTTTTTTTCTCTAATCACAAATATCTTTAAAAGTTTCTTAGCTTTCTATTATACGATTATAATTTATTTCAAACATTATTAATTTTTATTTATTTATCTTAATAAAATAGAAAATACAAAAAAGGATCAACAACGTTAGTAATAATAACTTGGTTAAAGAAAAAGATTAATTGAGATGATTTTTAATAATTATATGATGGATGGTTCGTATGCATAAAAATATTAACGATTTTAACATAAAAAAAAGCCCATACTATTGAATGCTACCGTTTACAAATTTCACTCTTAAGTTAAACTGAATAGTTTAAATTAGTTACTAATCATCTAGTATAAAATTCTGAGAGCAGTTAACTTGAAAAAAAAAATAGCCCGTTCTATCACAGTAGATTAGGACAAAACATTAATAAATAATGGAGATAAGTATTTAGTTTTTTTTCGTGTATCACACGGATAATACACTAGAATATATATATATATATATATATATATATATATATATATATATATATATATATATAGCTTAATATTTCTGTAACAGCCGTAGATAGTGTTATCTACAGCTGACACAGAAAAGTGGGCCCCACGGCTTTTTTTAAAAAAAAAAAAAAAACTTAGGATCTGTTGCCGTATCCTAGGATCCGGACGCGGATCCTTGCTTGCTGTAGGTACAACAGCTGCAGAAATCATTTTGCCATATATATATATATATATATATATATATATATATATATATATATATAAGAGGAAGCATAACACAAAGAACAAGATGCATACCACCACAAATGCAACTGCTCTAGCACCTCCTGCGTTAGTGAATGGTTGGTTAACAAATGTTTGTATTTTCATAAATTAATATGTGCAGAGATAAAAAAGAATCTCTTAGAAGGTGAAAAAATAATAAGAAATCAAAGCAATTATCCGCAAATTTCCATGTTGCATGTGAAGGTGGAGCAGGAGTATCTACATAATAAACACATTTTTCATAACCTGAAATGAAATGAAACAAATTATTCCAAAATTCAAGCATGAATACCTCCAATGGAACACTCAAATGATTCATTACATACTAGGATTAATTGTTGTCACAGTCGCGGTTCCACCAAAGCTGCACGCATCCTCAGAACGCCCATGTGTTTGATAGACTATTGTATCTGGCTGGAAGCACGACCCTGTAATTGGATGACCATACAATCGACCCCCAGGGCCACATGCCCAGTTAAGAGCATTCTGTAACTCCACTTGTGTTACAGTCGGTCGTGCAACACACCATGTGTTGCCTTCTTCAGGTGACAAAGTTGTCACTGTCGTCAAGTTATAGGAGAGGACGACAATGGTGACAATCTAGCATCTCATCAGGTATGACTCCATGGCTTACACAGTAGTATTTAGTTATGAAAGAGAAAAAATATACTGATCGAAGAAAGGGACTTTTTTAGTTTTTAGTTATGGCTTATACAGTAATTTTTAGTTATGAAAGAGAAAGAAAGAAGTTGGTTCCCCAATTGGCTTGTTGGTTTGGAGAGTTTATCTTCAATGGTTCGAACTCAGCATTCAGAGAGAAAGAAAGGATGTACTCATTGGAAAAATAGCTATGCTGGAAAATATTTTCTATTTTCGGTGTAGTCTAAAAGAAGAAAAAATACAAAAAGAGAATCAAATGTGTATTGTGTCAAAATAAGAAAAAAAGAAAATAAATGTATAAAAAGAGAAAATAGAATAAGAAAAACAAAAGACCAAATATATTAAATATCACATAAGTGACAAAAAAGATTAAAAATTTAAAAAATAAAATAAATACACTGAAGACAAAAAACTAGAAGAAAAAACTCCAAATTATTAATAATAAAATATTTTATCACAATTTGGAGTATTAAAAACTCCAAAATTATTAATACTCCAAAATATTAATAATTTAGAGTATTAAAAACTATCAAACTCAACTTCCAATGACACTCATATCGCACAAAATTATTTTATCAAAAGTAAAATTTATATTATAATTTTTTATTTATAACCATCAAATAAATACATATATATATATATATATATATATTATTACTACTAATTTATAATTTATTATTATTATTATTATTAATTTATTATTATTATAAATTATTATTATTTTTCTGGGATATTACAAGTTTAAATTAGTTACTAATTATCAAGCATAAAATTGTGAGAGCAATTAACTTGAAAAAAAAAAAAAGCCCGTGTTATCTGTAGATTCGGACTAAACATTAATAAATAATGGAGATAGGTATTTTTATTATTAAAATCTTGTATAGTATTAAACTTCCCTACCTTTGTTACCAAAGGTTTCTTGGGCGAAAGCGGCTGCGGAAGGAGGCATGCACCTGTATTAGCATCAGCATATCAGCATCAGAATCAGAATCATAATCATAATCGGAATGGATGATGCAAAACCCATTTCCATCTGTGAAGAGAAGTTGGCAGTTTCGAGTGCCTCTCACCTTACACGGCCTGAACTTCTGAAGCGTCGTTTGCGGAACCTCAACCAACTTTCCAAATGCTACAGAGACCTCTACTGGTCTCTCATGGAGGACCTCAAAACCCACTACAGACGCTACCTGTGGGACTATGGTCTCTCCCCTTTCAAGGACAATGAAGCCACTGCCGAAAATAACAACATTAATAATTTCGATGTTTTCAACAATTACATGTGTGCTTTCCTCGCTTGTAAGCTCAAGCCAATGCCATTGACCACCTTTTGCCATTTGCATATCCTTTCTGATTCCAGCCAGAAGCTTTATAAGCCTTGCAATTACGTTATCAAAAGGTCTCTCTCTCTTTCTCAATTTCAATTTCAATTTCGTTTTATTTAATTGTTCAATTTCTGACATGTAAGTAACTGTTTGTTAAGACTATCATGCATAATTCTTTATCTAAATTCAATAATATTTAGAATATACCTTCACTAAGTTTATAAATGATGCTGCATAATTTATTAATGAGATGGATTCAGCGGACCTTACTGTGTCTTTATACTCAGTTTTAGTGAAATGATGCATGCTGATATGCACAAATAAACTGGTTACACCTTTGGCCCCTTTTGTCTGAGTTTTTGCAATTGTTTGCTGGGGATGCCTAAAGCATGTGTGCTTAGTGCCTTGCTGTCAATTTTAGCCAAAAGAGAAGTGAACTTACCACCTGAATTGCATTTTCTTTGGATCTTTTATCAGTTCTATCTTTGGAGGATCAGAATCCATGATGTTCAGTTGAAATGTTTTTCTTTTGCTTGCATAATATTTCTTGCTTTGTATATGTTCTAAAATCAAGTTGTGTTGCTCATTTGAAGATATGATCTGTTCTGTTTCCATTATAATTATATTATAGTTACACTTTCATTTTTGGGATAAAAAAGTATGAGAGATTGATTTCTTCGTTGGCATTCCTTCTAACTTATGAAGCAGGGAAAGCGGGGAGACATGTCCGTGTATCAATCAAAACACTTCCAATTTTGTGTGTCTCTGTCCTCTATCCATAATTCTTAGCTTGTAACTGATTTGCACTTTTGTTTTCAGTGCACAAGCTGGGCCTATAACATGCGGAAAACCTATACTGAGATCCACTGTTCCATCTCTCTGCATTAGCCACTTTCAAAAGGCTCAGAAGCATCTCACTAGGACCTTGAAGAGGAATGGTCTGAATATTTCCTCAACAAGTAAAATGGCTCCTAAATTTCATGTCATAGTGACAGAATATGTTCATCACATTCAAGTGAAAAGAAGAAAGGAACTAGGGGGAAACAAAAGTAAAATTGTAGTTCAGAAAGACAATGATAGCTGAGCACTGAAGAAGTGGATGCAAACATACTCTCTTATGGTATAGAAGTCTATGTTGAGACAAATACTAGAGGCCAGAAGTATTTCTAATCGAGCGAATGCTCTTGTAGGAAAAGACGTGGCTGGCATATGTGTTGCTATTCAGTTAGCAATGGTTAATTTTAAATAATAAAATCAAACCAAATCATTGAATAGAAATCAGCCAGGTAAGGTCATTCCTAATTTGGTTTTCGTAATGACTTTTGTTAACATTTATCATTACTTTTTCTAATATTATAAAGTGCATTGTCTTAGCCTAGATTCATGTATTCTCTTCTTGAGTTCATCTGCTCATTTAAATTCTTGATCGCGTTTCCATTCACTTCCTTTGACGTAAAGACATTCATAGGGTCTTCGTATATTTATTAACAATCCTCAATAGTGCACGGTGTTCTTCTGAAGGCTCCTCCATCCTATGTTCTATAGATATTGGCATCAATCTTCTTCCCTGTGACGCCTGGATTTTGGCACTCTTCTTAATTAACTCTTTAATATCAGATGCTACGAGAGAATATATTATTTCGTTGATCTTTTTGTGTAACATTACACTGAACATAAATATTAACAAGAAGGAATCAATTCGTTGTCTTAAAACGAGAACTAAACATGTAAACTAAGTATGTCATATTGATGAGATTGTATTTGTTTGTAGAATTTAGCATCTCTTATTGAAGGGAAACTCAAATTGTCTCGCGTCGCAGTTCCCATTGATTTGCAAGGACTACATTTTTTATGGGCAGGAATGCAAGTTTACCCAGTTAATTAGTTTGATGTGCTGATCAAAAGAAGAAAAAGGGGCAATAAGTCATCTTGGTTAACTGTGCTTCTTTGCTCAACAAGATAAATAAGATTAGAGGATTTGTTAAGATTCAATGATGCTGGTCTAACCATTGCTCAGATTCAGTTTTTTGAATTGCACCGATTATTTTGCATCTGCTTACGCAGTGTTTAAGCTTAAAGCTCCAACTTCTTTCAGTAATTGAGTAGCAAAGTCAGCGCCAATGACAAATGCCGACTATCACAAACTATGTCCAAATCAACGATGCAAACAATATTAAATCCAACACAAAATCATTCCAAGTTTAATTAATCAGTGTCTCATGTACTTCAGGGATAACCAATGACCAAGTTTTTCTAACCCTTTCATACAACACCAAGAACAATTTGAGGAAAAATCTCTGACCAATGGGGTGACAAGGCTTCACATCCTTCCCCTTCACTCCCCCCTCTCGAGTTAAACTGTCTCTGGAATACGAGCAGAATCGATTCATCTAAGCAACAAGTATGAATACACACAAGTTAGCATACTAATTTGGGTTAGCACATCATGGAGCCATAACTTTCAACTGCAAGGGTTTAAGTTCCAAACGGGGAAGAAGGGAAAAATGCTTGTGCAGTTAGGTTAGTTACCTCAGCAAATGCAGAGGTGTGATGCAAGTTATTGGTGAAGCTCTATTGGAGGCTCTCACCGCTGCATAAAAAGTAAAAGCCAACAGCTATGGTCTGAATTCATTGCGGCCAATCATTGGCAATGAAAAAATAGGAATGAGAAAGAGTTTATTCTAATCATAAAGTTTATTAGCAGTAACCCCAGATACAATAATTTTAATCACAATATGAATCTAAACCTCCGAAGATTAAGTCAGACTCAGTTGAGGGTATTAGGTTATTCTCAAACCTGAAACACCCTCTGCTTCCTCTGTTCTCCAGTTAGATAGACCTATCATTGATAGGTTAAGACATGCCCCCATCTCCAGGTAAAAGAATCACAGGAAATCTCATTCCTCTGCCAGAATTGGTCTAATGGTGAATCAGGCCATAGAGAACCACAATCTCCCGGAACAGGTACCCATTTCTTTCCTGTTGGCAAATCAATACATTCTTAGTTCTCTTAGTTGCACAGTTTAACTGTGCACGCAACAGCCTGCGCCCAAAATTTGAGCCTTGCTTTAACATCTTCAGGGTGGTCACCTGGAGACACACACGAAGCATTTGTATATTAGACGTTTTGCACCATGAATATATCCAACCATAAGAATCACAGCATGAATATGAAGTATGCATAGCATCGCCAGAATCACTTTCAAAAAGAATATAGACAAGTAATATACGGGTCATAAAATAAAAAAAATTCTTCAAAAATAAATAATTTATAATTAGATTAGACACAATTTGCACCATGAATAAAAATGTAGTTCAGCATTAATTATTGCCTAGATTATCAGAACATTAACCTCAATAACTTCATATCCAACATCAAATCTCTGTCCATGTCAAAACATAAAACACAAACTTCGAGGATTTAAAAGAAAATATGAGAAAATTGAAATATTGAAGATGAGCCAAATAAGAATGGAAGAAGTTGAATGACCTGGACTAGAGATCCTCCAATTGGCAATGGATGAAGACAATGAATCGGGGGAAGGGGGCGAAGTATCCATGAACTTCTGGGACATGGAATAACACAACTCAAGTGCGGGCAAGGTGTTGCAGAGCTCGGGAATCTCTTCATAACTGAACCCAAATCCAAGATCCAAACACCCTTTAAGCTCTTCCAGATCCTCATCCGTCAAACTCTTTGTCCTCGCCAGATCCTCATCCACATACCCTTCGAGCAACACCTGATTCTTCTTCTTCTTCTTTTTTCCCAATCTTCCCTCCCCTTCCATGCTTCTTCCCTGATGATTTTCAATCGATTCCATTGCATTTGCAGGGGTTGATGATTCCCATTCCGATTCCATTTTCTGATTTCTCTCTCTCTCTCTCTTCCTTCTTCTTCTTCTTCTTCTTCTCTTTCTATGTTTCTTTCTCTCATTGGGGTAAGGAAGGACTATTTATCTATGGAACACTGCTTGCAATGCAACATCATAATGTCGTGGCTTCATGTATGTATGCATGGTGACATGTCATGTCATGGTATGGATACATAATTCATAAGTGGTGGAATTGGTCACGGAAGATAATGAGTTGAGGAGTGAGGTGGGCCTATCACTATGAACAGTAAGTGGACCCTATCAATTTCGTTGGATTTGTTTGTATCCATTCAAAGGAATCGCATGTGACTAACGCAAACAACGGAAAATTATTGAAAGAGACGCTTCAGTAAGACTGTTTTTTAAAAGTGTATTTATTCATTGGACATTTTGGTTAATTATTTTTAGAGATCTATTAATCTCATGTTGCATGAAATAATTATCTCATATAATATAGACAAGATAGTGGGGTCTACCATTTGTAAACAAAAAAGAAAAAAGAAAAAAGAATGTAGATCTTATTACTTTGTCTCTGTTGCATAAGATAATTATCTCATGTAACATGAGATAATTACTTCCCTTGTTTTTACGAATATCTATCAAGAAAAATTACCCTTTACAAGAGGTTATTTGATTCTATTGGATAATATAATATATTCAAATTATTTTTTTCGAATTTTTTTTCGTTAAGGGAATTCAGACAATGCCTAAATCGATCCGGTTAGATCCACTCCAAAATGGGTGAACCGAGCATATAATTATTTTGATTTTCATATTGGATCAATCATGTAATAAAATCGGTGTGACCCGGTTCATAAAAAAAATTAGTTTGTTCTCACCAATTGGTGTCTTTACTTTTTTAAGTTTCACACACAAATGATTTTTTTTCTTTTGAAATATTTGAATGATCTGTTGCTTATTGAGTCACATAAGTTATGTGCCTACAACATTAATTATTATCTTGATCTGCAATATACAGCGAATTTTGATTTGATTTATATTAGAGATATCGTCTACTAAACCTAAAGCACTAATATCACTAGTATTTTATACATTACGGTTAAGGATTGAATCCCCGTCAGCATGCTTAAAGGACCCAGTTATCTATCAACTGTGTCAGGTTTTGTTGGTCAAGTATGTTTGATTGATTTTTTGTTGGATAATGATATATAATTTATTATTTTTATATTAAAATATTTGGAATTAGTATCTTTTTTATAGGTGTTTGAGTATATTTATAATTTTTTAATATAAATTATAGATTTAAATAATTTATTGGATCATGTGGTTAAACTAGTGACTTAATGGTTGAACCAGTAACCCAATAATCTAGTACTTTTGACCGGAACTGGACTGAGTTTAATAACATTAGTTCTAAGTTTGATAACTATATATGCTGGGAGATAAAATTATATTACAATGAAAACAAATTTACAATTGAATTGTTTCTAATTTTAAATTAGAATTAATTCTTTATTTCAAACGTTATTCTCACCGAACAAATATGAATATCCAAATAATACTAAAAACAAATGGTTCAAAAGGATATTCGAAGAGATAAAATGGATCCTTTCCCGCCTAACTTGACGATATGGTTAACCTCCTCTTATTTTTTTCCTTCGATTGTTGAAAATATATATGGAAAAAAGTTTTGTCTTTTAAAAGATATAAGATTGTGTCATTTTAAAAATTATAATTATTACGGGTAATATATAGTTTATAATATTAAAGTTATACTCTCTTTTTTCTCTTTAGAAATTATCTGCTAACGTGGAAAATAAAAAAAGTATAACTTTTCTTTTGTTACATAAGAAAAATATAACTTTAATATTATAATTATGTACTACTCATAATATATAGTTATAATACTATAAGGATACAATCCCACATCGTTTGAAACGACATACTAAACCTAATATATATATATATATATATGTGTGTGCACGCGCGTGTCAAAATGGAACATAACTTCCTGTGTCAAAATGGAACATAACTTCCTGTGTCAAAATGGAACATAACTTCCTGAATGAGGTGAAAATAAAACTATCTTGGGATGAATGTTCTATATGTTTTACATTTATTTAAACTTCGATAATATTAAAATAATATAGTTATTTTATAATTGTATGAGATTTTGTCTATTGTTTATATAATATATTCATTTTTTAAAGTAAAGTTCAATAAATTAAAGGGTCATATTATTTTCATACAACATGCATGAAATTAATATAACTTCATGCAGACTTATCAATTTTCGTCTCTCTTTTTATTTTATTTTTAATAATTAGTAAGGCCTATCACATGATTATATTTATAATATGAATAACATATTTTCTATTACATAAGAGTAATAAGATCCTAAATTAAATGGTGAAATCATAAACTACGCTCCCTATCATTTAATTTATTTTTTTTAAGTGTAAAATATCCGAAAAGATTAGTGTAAAAATATACTATCCATATTATCAAATAAAAAATAAAAAAAATATACTATCCATTTGTCAAACAAAAAGGCAAAAAATGATTACGTGGGCGCGGCGTGATAGGAATTGACAACAATGATGCTGAGATGATCTCACTACTTAAGGGGAAAAGAAAAAAAGAAAAAATTGATCAGGTGGAAGCTTTATTAATATATTTTAACTTTTAAAAAAATTAAAAATAAAATAAAATAAAATTAAAAAAGAAATTACGAAAATGCCATTTGACCGTGTCGACACTCGTGTTGGCGCAGTCACCCATGCCATGATGCCTTGCATGTATATATTAAAACAATCTTAAATTCAAGTACCCAAAGAAGACCAAAATAAAAAACCAAGAAATGATACAACTTATGTCTTTTCTTCTTTCTTTTTTTTTCTTTTTTTTTTAATACACGTCTTTTCTTCTTTTCCCAGTGCACAAAGAGCACAGGAATAATCTACATAATTCAGAAAAAGAAAGCATATTCAAGTAGAAAAATGTGCGTGGTTGGCAAATGGATTAAAGTGCTGGTGTGTACGCATCCACGACCAAACTTTGGAGAATAGCACCACTACGTACATTGGAAAGCAACATAGCTTTCGCAATTTGCATTGTCTCTGATTCTGGACAGGGAGAATTAAACCCTCTTGTATTTGTCTGATTGGCAAAGAACATGGATGTGGCCGGGTCTGTATAAAATTCAGTAACTGAAGACAATTTGTGCTTTCATGCATGCTTGAAAATTAAATGAAACCCACATGGAATGAATTACAATGTTTGATCTTTTTGGTAGAGGAACATTTCTTGTGTCAGAAATAGGAGAAATACATGATACATCAGATAAGGCCAAGATCTCCACGAAAGAGCAGCAGATAAATTAAGGTTCCACGAAACTGAATCAGATACCATAAAATGCGGATAGGGGTGCATTTGAAATTAATGATTTTTGTAGTTTGTATGATTACTTTTCAACTACTACACGTGAAATGCAGTGCGCAGTTCTTTCAACTACTATACATGATAAAGGTTAAAGGATAGATCATTATGTTATCAAAAAAAAAAAAAAAAGGATAGATCATTATATTATATGGGTGATGAAAAAAAAAAAAAAAGGATAGATCATTATATTATATGGGTGATGAATTAATATAAAAATATTAGGAGATAATCCTAATAAATTTATAGAAGCTAATTACATAGGAACGTTTAAATAATTACATAGGATATATATATATATATATATATATATATATATATATATATATATATATATATATATATATATATATTGGTTTTATTAGAGTTATGTTGTAGGAAAAGTGATTGCGTAATGTTATAGAGATTCGTTTTGCATGCTGTAGTTTTTTTTTTTTTTGCTTCAAAAAGTGTGGGTCACACAAAACGTTGTGTGTGTAGAAAACTTTTTTGTGTCATGTTAAATGATGAATGCAAATCCCATATATTTATATATATATATAGGGGTTTACATTTCTGCAGCTGCTATACGTGCAGCAATCAAATATTTGTCATATATATGCGTGAAAGCATTAAATGTAGGGAATCATAACCATACAAAGGATGAAAGCATTAAATGAAGGGAATCATAACCATACATCTGTCGTTGCTGTACGTAAAGTGGCTGCAGAAATAATTTTACTATATATATATATATATGGGTCATGATCATTTTATATCAGTGTAAGTTACACTCTTAATCTTGTTCGTTGATCCCATTTATATCTAAGAGCTCAAGTATATCATTTTATAGGTATAAGTATATCTTGCCTATATATATATATATATATATATATGTATGAGGCAGGATATTTTTACACTGGTATAAGAGTTAGAAGTCTTACACTCAATCTTGACCATTGATCCACTTGTATCCAATGACTCACATTACTAAAAAATTTGAGCCCTTAGATATAAGTGAGATTAACGGACAAGATTAAAAGTGTAACTTACACTGGTGTAAAATGATCCTGACCCTATATATATATATATATATATATATATATATATATATATATATATATATGACAAAATAATTTGTAACGTGACTGCATATAAGTATTGGTGCAGTCACCTAAAATCTACGTCGTTTTTGGTTGGATGAAGGAAGTTCGCGTTCAAAATTAATTGTAGAAAATAAAAATATTATATTTATTTTCACCTTTATATGTTTATAATTCTCCATATTTAATGCTATATTTAATTCTATCACACTATAAAACGACGTAGTTTTATATAATTCCCTATATATATATATGGTTTAGTGGATGTACAATGACTGCACCTAAGGATTGGTGCAGTCATATAAAACTACGTCATTTTATAGTGTGGAAAATATTAAATATGGAGAATCATAACCATACAAAAATAGAAATAAATATAAAATATAAAATATGGTGAATCATAATTATATAAATGTGAAAATAAATATAATATTTTTATTTTCTACAATTAATTTTGAATGCAAACTTCGTTTATCCTACCCAAAATGACGTCGTTGAATGCGAAGTATAAATTATACCCCATATATATAAAAGGGGAAGAATATTGTAACAACTAATTGGTATTACTACCAATCAA